CGGAAGGATGGAAGGCTGAGTCAACCCTGAGCCGGTGAGATTTGAACCGCTGAACTGCTGATCTAGCAGTAGCCTGCAGTGCTGCATTTAACCACCGCGCCACCTTGGCTCACCTTGACATTTCCTAAGCGGGTTTTACCCCCATTTTACTACCTTTCTCGCCAAAGTTGTTAAGCGAGTCACTGCCGTTGTTAAGTGAGTCACTGCAGTTGTTAAGTGAATCGCCTGGTTCCCCCCTGCTCGACTCTGCTTGTCGGAAGGGGAATCCTGTGAGCCCCGGGGCACTGGCAGCCGTCATAAGTACAGGCCAGTTGCCAAGCGTCCGGATTCCGATCACATGACCCACGGGGCGGCTGCGATGGCCGTAAGTGTGAAAAACGGTCATAAGTCACTTTTTTTCCCATTACTGTTGCAACTTTGAACAGTCACTAAACACACTGTCGTAAATCGAGGACTATCTGTAACCAGGATTCACCTCAGAAAAATGGATTCGGCGTTTTTTGTTTTTGCGAGTTAAGAGTTAATCAGTGAGCGTATACTATTGCCTGAAAGGTTAATCATTGAGCAACCTAGTTAAAAAAAACCTGGGGACTCCTAAAACAGAGCAGGAACCGCCACAACAAGTCCTCGACTTACAACCGTTTGCTCAGCGATGGCACTGAAAAAAGTGACTTTCACACGTACGACTGTTGCACAGGCTCCCCTGATCAAAATTCAGGCAGTTGGCAATTGACTCGCATTTATGACGGTCCCAAGCGGAGGCCACATGTTCTCCTTTTGCTCAAACTTCGGAGGAGCAACGCCAACGGGGGGAAGCCAAATTCACTTAATAATTGCGCGCCAACTTAGTAACGGCAGCAAATTCACTTAGCGGCCGTGGCGAGGAAGGTCGTAAAGTGGTGCAAACCCCAGCCGCCTTGCTTTAACGAGGCAGTGCCAAGCATCTAAACCTTTCAGCCCTGGGAAATGCTACGATGGTCGTAAGTGTGGGGAAAAAAAAACCGTTCCTTTTTTTCCCCCCCGGGTGCTGTTTTAATTCCGGTTTTAATTATCTCGCGCCTCCAAAGTCCAATTTTTTGGCTTCTTTTAAAAGGTCAGCCTGGCAGCCCCCGGCCGGACGATGCTATGGCGAGGCACCTTACATAAGAGGATTAAATGAAAAGAAAGAGTCACACACCCCCGTGAAATTAGTGATGATAATAAAAGTCGCCAAGCGAAACCCTAGAAGTGGGGGATCTGTTCTGTTGGAACACCTGCCTGCTTTCTAGTCTTTCTGAAAAGGCCCGAAAACTTTGCCAAGTAGGAGAATTTCCATCCCAGGAAAGATTCGGCTTCCAATTTTTCAGCCATCTTCCTGCAAATGCTGAAAACGGCGGGTTCAGGGTGAAAGAGAGGCGGTCCTCCACTTACAACGGTTCGGTTTTAGCGACCATTCAAAGTTACAGGAGCACTGAAAAGAGCGACGCGGCCGTTTTTCACACTTACGACTGTTTGCAGCACAGCAGTCAGCTGATCAAAATTCGGACGCTTGGCAACGGACTCGTAGTTGTGATGGTGGCAGGGTCTCGGAAGTGTGTGTGTGTGTGTGTGTGTGTGTGTGTGTGTGTGTGTGTCGCCTGGTCCCCTTTTGCGACTTTCTGACAGGCCGAGTCAATGCGGAATCCAGATTCACTTAACAACCATGCGACAAACTTAAACAACTGCAGCGATTCATTTAGCAACGGTGGCAAGAAAGGTTTTAGAAACGGCTTCACAACGAAACGTCTCACTTAGCAACATAAATTTTGGGATCCACTGTGGTTGTAAGTCAAGGACTACCTGTACTATATAAATGCACTAAGTGGAAGATCTTGGTAGAGGAAGGGCTCGATTTACAACCAAAGCAGGGATTAGAATTTCCATTGCTAGGCAAGGGTTGTTAAGTGAATTGCCTCCTAATTTTATCAATTCCTCCCCCCCGCTCATGGTTGTTAAGTGAAGCACTGCAGTTGTTAAGTGAATCACCTAACTTGAAAGAATTGAGCCCAGCATTTCTCTTGCTAAGCAAGGCAAAATATTAGCTGAGCTTGAACAGATTTTATTTCTTTTTCCATCATGGTTGTTAAGTGAATCACCGGGGGATGTTAACTGAATCACAGTGTTGTTAAGTGAATTGACTCTCCTATTGACTTAGCTTGTTGGAAGTCAGCTGGGAAGGTTGTAAACGGGGATCAGGTGACCTCAGGATGCTGAAACCACTGTAAGTGCCTGCCAGCTCCCACGCACTCCGTTATTTGATCATGTGACGGTGGGGACGCCGTGACAGTCGCAAAAGTGAGGACCAGTTGTCAGTCACTTTTTTTCCAGGGCTGTCGTAACTTCAAGCGGGTGTTAAACGAATGGGTCGTACGTTGAGGACTATCTTATTAGGTCTGATGAGAGGGCATGAAAGGGAAAAGTTTAAGAAATAAATTGCATACATAATAAATCACGAATGAATGAAAAAAAATGAATGAACAACTTTGAGAACTTTTGAGACGAGGTAAGGAAGTCTCAAAAGAACCCACAACCCAGAATTTGTTCGTTTATCATATTTGGAAATTCCCTGCAGGGTGAGTCTAAATCCATTTCCTATACTGAGAAGGGGCTGGACTAGATGAGCTCAAGGGGACTCCTCCTTCTAATCCTAGGATTCCATGGCTCCCAAAAGGTAGAGATAATTTAGGAGCACTTGAAGTTTAACTGTGATATCTGGCCTTTCACTGATCTGGCGTGCCAACCCAGGTTCATTTTTTCTACTTTTTTTAAAAAAAAAATTAGGTTTCCATTGTAAAATATGCACAGCAGAGGCTGTGCAATGCCAGATGCTGAGATGTTTCCAGGGGAATTCTGGGAGCTGACGTCCACACCTCTGAAATCCATCTGATGAAATAAAATTACGAAATAAATCTTTGGATAGGAGAACACCAGGAGATCACACAATACTTTCTGAGTATTCTACATACTCATCATCACCGTTGGGGGAATGAATACATCACGCTAGTGGCTGTCTGGGGAATTCTGGGAGCAGAAGTCCACATACGTTCTGGGAACTGAAATTCAGGCATACTGATTGGGGGATTCTGGGAGTTGAAGTCCACCCCTCTTCAAGTCACCCTGTTTGAGAAAACTCCAGTGCAATGCCCACTTAGAAAACTTCCCTTCTCCGAGAAGTGATGCCAATTCGCACACACCTCCTTGATGGGCCCAATGGATTCCTGGCATGGCATAAGCAAGAATAACAATAGCAATTAGCCCTTAGACTTATATACCCCCTTCATGGTGCTTCCAAGGTGAGCCAAGGTGGCGCAGTGGTTAAATGCAGCACTGCAGGCTACTGCTAGATCAGCAGGTCAGCAGTTCAAATCTCACCGGCTCAGGG